AATACAATACAAAAAACCCACATACATTACACTAACAAAACACTAACATTAAACTAACAAAACAAAACAAACACAATTTAAAACACATCAAACAATTTCCATATCTTATCTTTCATTCACTTGTTTCAACGACCTACTCACACCTCCCTTTTCGTATTCCACTTCAGTTAATTGTTTCAGCAATTCCTTTCCATCTTCCTCTGTTTTCTGTCCTATAATTATCTTAACATATTCTAACCTTATTTTTCCCCTTAATACACTAATAATTTATTTGTACTTAGTTCCTTATAACATTTCTACTAAAGCCATATAACTTCATTCCAACATTTTTCTAACATTCATTAATTTTACAGTATTTCTGTAAATAGTCTTTAAACTTTTTCCAATCTTCTTCCACCGACTCTTCTCCCTGGTCTCGGATTCTGCCAGTCATTTCCGCCAGTTCCATATAGTCCATCAACTTCTTTTGCCATTCTTCCCGGGTGGGTAAATCTTTTGTCTTCCAATACTTCGCGATGGGTATTCTTGCTGCTGTTGTTGCATACATAAAAAAATTCTGTCCTTCTTTGGCACCAATTGGCCGACCACGCCCAGGAGAAAGGCCTCTGGTTTCTTCAGAAAGGTATATTTAAATACCTTTTTCATTTCATTATAAATCATCTCCCAGAATGTCTTAATCCTTGGGCATGTCCACCAAAGGTGAAAGAATGTACCTTCAGTCTCATTACATTTCCAACATTTATTGTCGGGTAAATTATAAATTTTTGCAAGCTTGACTGGTGTCATGTACCACCTGTAAATCATTTTCATTAAATTCTCTCTTAGGGCATTACATGCCGTGAATTTCATACCTGTGGTCCATAACTGTTCCCAGTCAGCCATCATTATGTTATGTCCAACGTCTTGTGCCCATTTTATCATAGCTGATTTCACCATTTCATCCGGGGTGTTCCATTTCAACAGCAAGTTATACATTCTTGACAAGTTTTTAATTTTTGAATCTAACAATTCTGTTTCCAATTTTGATTTTTCCACCTGGAAACCAACTTTTTTGTCCAAATTGTATGCCTCCATTATTTGGTAATAATGGAGCCAATCTCGCACTTTGTTTTTCAATTTTTCGAAGCTCTGCAATTTTATTCTTTCTCCTTCTTGTTCCAGAATTTCCCAATATTTCGGCCATTTGGCCTCCATATTGAGCTTTTTCTGTGCATTCGCTTCCATTGGTGACAACCATCTTGGGGTTTTTTTTCTAACAAATCCTTATATCTTATCCAAACATTAAACAGTGCTTTTCTAACAATATGGTTTTTAAACGCTTTATGTGCTTTTACCTTATCATACCACAAATATGCATGCCAACCAAATGCATTATTGAAACCTTCTAAATCCAGCACGTCAGTGTTTTCAAGAATCCCCATGACGGGGTGAGCTCCCGTTGTTCGGTCCCTGTTCCTGCCAACCTAGCAGTTCAAAAGTATGTCAAAGTGCAAGTAGATAAATTGGTACCACTCCAACGGGAAGGTACAGCCAGAAGCTGTACGTTGGCTCCCTTGGCCAATAAAGCAAGATGAACGCTGCAACCCCAGAGTCGGTCATGGGTCAGGGGTCCCTTTACCTTTATAATTTATAAGCTAAACTTCCCCAATCCCTCAACCGTTCCTTATTAGGCTTGGTTTAAACAGGACACTTGTTACATTGAATTGCACTTGCCATGTTACTGCCCATTCACTCATTTCAGAGGGTCCTTTTGGAGACCCCTTTTTCCTTTCATAACCCCCCCAACAATGTACTATCATACTCAACTTTGGCCACCTCACTGCTCTTCCCTGATGCTGGATTGTTGAGGAACAAGTTAAAAAGGAAGAAACCTCCTCTTTTCCCTTCCCGGTCCTTGTGCCTCCCAGTTCCCCTCACCCCTCACCACTGGCCATGCTGCCTGAGGCTGATGGGAGTTTGAGTCCAAGGAAGTCTGGGGGGTTCCACAGGTTCTCCATCCCTGCCCTTCAGCACCCCAGACACGCAGGCCGCTTCGCTGTTTGAATAGCTTTTACGTTCCTCCGAAGGCTTAGCCCGCTGCGGGTTCCACTCATTTGGCACTGCCGACAAGATGCACTCATTTCTTTGTGTGGTAGTTTAATTTCTAGAGCCCAGATGAGGGAGGGTGAATTCTGAAGAACAGCCATGCTAGTAACTCTGCACAAAGAGAATTTCAGTTTGACTTCCATGAAATGCAAAAAGCGAGAGGTAAAGTGGAGGCAGTGATTAATAATAATAATAATAATAATAATAATAATAATAATAATAATAATAATTTATTTGTACCCTGCCCATCTGGCTGGTTTTCCCCAGCCACTCTGGTCAGCTTCCACAGAGACCAAAGATACACTAAAATGTCACACATTAAACACTTCCCTGAACAGGGCTGCCTTAAGATGTCTTCTGAATGTCAGGTAGTTGTTTATCGCTTTGACATCTGATGGGAGGACGTTCCACAGGGCGGGCGCCGCTACCAAGAAGGCCCTCTGCCTGGTTCCCTGTAGCTTTGCTTCTCGCAATGAGGGAACCGCCAGAAGGCCCTCAGCGCTGGACCTCAGCGCCCGGGCAAAACGATGGAGGTGGAGACGCTCCTTCAGGTATACTGGGCCGAGGCCGTTTATTTGTGTCTCAAGACGAACAGATGCCAGCAATAACAGCGACATTTATGGGGACCAGGAAATAGGAACAGTCCCTAATAAAAAGGGACATTAAGAGTGCTTGCATTTTGCTTTCACGATGCCAGAGGCAGGTTGCCAGCATGGCTGTTAGGCGGCAGACAGCATGCTGGCAAAGCGTGGCAATGCCCTTCTCTTTTTCTTATCCCAGCAGGTGCCCTGATAGTAAACGGGAGCCGGGAGGCCTCTGCTTGCTGTTCACACTTTGGGGTAACAGAAAGAGTTAAAGAGCCCTTTGCTGGTGAGGATGAGCCGGTGGGATGAGGCTAATTCTGCTAGCCTTTCAATTCTTTCTTAGCATCGCCCTGTTGAAAATGAGGGACTGTGAGTAGGAAGGGCCACAAGAGGGGAGAAAGGGGAAACTTCCCAAACCTCTTAAGTTACTGCCATCTTCAGAGTGCTGCAAAGCCCACTCAGAAAGCCCACAATTCCCATTTATGATTCTAGTATAGTGTCTTCCAAACTTGGGTCTCCAGCTGTTTTTGGACTATAGTTCCCATCACTCCTGACCTCTGGTCCTGCTTGCTGGGGATGATGGGAGTTGTGGTTCATCCGCAGAAGGAGACGCAAATTTGGTAAACACTGTTCTAGTCCACCTGCTGTCCTCTGTACATGATAGGCAAGGCTTGGAACAGTATCATACTTTTTATTTACTCTTGTGTGCCCTCCTTGCTTCTCTTTTTTTCCAGCCAACATCCAGCTAGTTAGTGAGTGCTCCGCTCTTCCCTCATTTATGCAATTTATGCAAACCCCTCCACACCCAAATTTATGCAAATATGTTTGGATTTGCACCAACCATACTCGGCCCAGGCTTCATTGTCTCTTCATGCCGAATTTTTGAGTCCTCCCCTTTTAAAAAACAAATATATGCAGCTCACAGCAAGCTGCTGTTATCTCAGAAGCCAGTTTTTACCAGAGAGTGGCTGCCTCGTGGACCTGCTAGACTGTCCAGTTTCTCAGGGCGGCTGTGAAGCCGAGAGATCTTATTTGAAGATTTTAACAGTGGGTAGCAGGCTCACCAAGTCCTAGACTAGTCGGGTAGTGAAGAGGGGAGTATTCTGCTGGTATAAACATCATCAGAGTTGTACTGATGGCTCAGAAGGGAGGACACGAGAACACATAGGGCGGTGGTCAACTAACTCCTTCTTGAAGGAGACCCATTGAAGTTAACGAACCCAAGTTAACCATGTCCATTAGCTTAAATGGGTCTGCTTAGAGTAGGACTTGTGTTGAATTCCACCCCTAGGATCAGCCATGTAGGACCTTATTAGGTCGTTTTCACAGTCATCATAATTACCGAAGCAAAGTCCAGGAATCATAAGTAACTCTTTTGGGAACGTTCTTATAATACTTGGATCTCCAAACATCTCACATATACTCCTAATTTTATACCAGCAGAGGTTGGGCAAGTATCCTCGAGGAATAATTTGGGGGTTACTGCAGTGTCTGCCAATTTGTTACCTAGATGAAGTGGGGTGGAGGGTGATGTCTGGAAAGGTGGCCAGTGCCAAGCAGCCTGGTTTCCTCCTGTGCTTTGGGCGCCAAGCAGCCAGGGGAAAGCAGTAGTCAGGCACTATTGACTTCCAGGAGGGTGTGTGTGTGTGTGTGTGTGTGTGCAAAAGCCACAATTTTGGAGCTGATTTTCAGAATTTTTGGAGTAAAATTAGAACGCCTGGAGTCAAAGCGTGATTTCCCACTTCATGAACACACTTGAACTTGTATCACACACATACACACCCATCCACTAAGCCAGACTCTTAAGCTCACCATTTCATACTTGGCTGCAAGAGACTGCAAAGTGGGTGTGGCTGGTGGGTGCAGGTCTGGGCCTCCTCAGAGGCGAGCAGAGACCCACAAATTTGAGCCGGCCTTGGTAGCCAGCCAGAATTTGCACTTGCCACTCGCTTTACTTCTCCATGTAATGGGGGAGAAATGTCACACTGAGCTCTGGAGGCTTTTTCAGAAGTAGTAAATGCCAAAGGGACAAGCCTTCTCTCAAACTCCAAATCCATGTGAGTGTTGAGGGAACTTCCTCAATGCTCTTCCAAAAGGCTCCACATGAGGGCCAGGAAGATCCCCTGCCCTTCTCTGAGCTAAGGAGAAGGCAGAATAATCTCCCAGGTTTCGGGCTGAGTTTTGGGCCTATGATGAGATCCGTCACTGTTACCCACATAATTCCAAGGCGCTGAGTGCAAGAAAGTCATAAGTGCAAGACGGTCTGAGGACTCTGTCCTGTATCTGAGTGGGGATTTCACCAGATTACAAAAAATGGTGTCACCTGTGGAGGTTGTATACTCATAAAAACCCTCTACAATTCCTTCACTCCTTAGCTCAGGTGTAAACCAGCATCTCAGCAAGTACTAACCATGGGAGTGAAAATGAGGCTCCACTCAAATTATGAGGGAAAAGATACAGGCTTAGTGAAATCCACAAGTCCTACCCATTGACTGTCCCAAATTTAAGTCAAATCATGCCCCCATGCTCCCCATAGCCGTTTAAGAACAGTAGCTAAGGGAGTGTTCACAAAAAGGAAGGGCCACTGGCCCACTCTGCCTCCAGTTTAATACAAGCACTGGCTCTGCTCCTACCACCATCTGCCAGGCCTTTAACAAGACCTAAGTTTCACCTCTTTGTCATTGTTGACAACCCAGTTATGTAGTAATTCTTTGTAGCTTTGTTTTATTTCAACATTTCTTCAGTCCTGGCTACTTGGAGGTTGACAGCCACTAGCAAAGTCTCTGCCATAGTAGAAGGGAGATTTCCTCCCACAAAGTCCTAACACCAAAGAGCAGAAAAGCAGTATCATCCAGTACCATGTTTGTTCCTTGGGATAAGGTTGCCCTTGTTCTTCGTCTAGCTATTTGGTTATGATTCTGTTATTCTATTATCTGAACAGGAGTGAGGAGCTAGCAGCCTGCAGGCCAGATCTGTCCCACCCCCACAAGCCTTTCCTACTAGAAACTGAATATTGGGGCTGGCCCAGTTGGACAGTTTCCTTTTTAAAAAAGAAGTTGGATTTTATTTTCATTTGTATGGATTAATTTGAAGAAATTAAACACCTCACATTTTTGTTTCTCTCACTGGTCCCCCCCTTTTTTACAAGTTTCATAGCGCGCTCCCTTAACTGCATGCCTTTTAAAAACTCAGCAGCGAGGATAGATGGGTGAATATTTTATCGGAAGGATGCCTTTAAAAAGAAATGTCGTTCCTCTTTTAACAGTGCTTTTTTGTTACTGGATGGGAGGCTGTTCTGGATGGGAGGCTGTTGGTGAGAGTCGGGAAGCATGGCGTTGGGACACCTGGATCACTGACAGCAGCAGCTACCAGACCCTCCAATTGTCTAGGGACAACCCCAGATTTACAGAAGCCATCACAATTTCCGATTTGATTCTGGAATGTCTCATTTTTTTCCTAGGATTTTCGGGCCCCATCCCTGTTCTGAAACTTCTGTCCGTCCACTTCATTCTTAGGCCCTCAGTTCCAGTACAGTGGTACCTCGGGTTACAGACACTTCAGGTTACATACGCTTCAGGTTACAGGCTCCACTAACCCAGAAATAGTACTTTGGGTTAAGAACTTTGCTTCAGGATGAGAACACAAATTGTGCAGCAGCAGCAGGAGGCCCCATTAGCTAAAGTGGTGCTTCAGGTTAAGAACAGTTTCAGGTTAAGAACAGACCTCCACAACAAATTAAGTTCTTAACCCAAGGTACCATTGTATTACAACCTGTCATTTATAGCACAATCTGCTTATTGCCTCAGTCCCAAAATGCTTGTTCTTCAGGCAGCAACTCTCAAAGTAGCAGCAGACAAATGCTGTGATGAGACCCCTCACAGAGCTACAATTCCCACAGTTCCTTGGGAAGTGGGATTGATTGTTAGCGCTCTTGGTATTGTAGCTCTGGGAGGGGGATAGGGGGGTCCCAACAACTCTCAAGGCCCAACTGCCGTTCCCAGGATTACCTGGGGGAAGCCATGGCTGTTCCACGCCTGTTTCAAATGTCTGCAGCCAGACAAAATACGTTTATGGGAATAAACAGAGGAGAAGAAGACTCCAAACAATAACTTGGAACATCAAAATAAAGAATAACACTTGCCCAATCTGTAGCCTAGTGTAACTGGTATGGTTAAATATGTGGGAGACCCAGACAGGATTCATAGGAATATATTTATAGGGTACTGAACTGGGAGCCAGTTCCAAACTGGACCATTTCCCCTGGAATCCTAATTGAATCACTCAAACATAGGCAAATCAACAACATAAATATTCTTCCTTATTTCAGGATTGGTAGGAAATGGTCCAGTTTGGAACTGGGCCTCAGTTCAGGAGCCTTGAAATGTATTATAGGCATCTTCAAATATCCTAAGAGCTGTCCCATGGGAAAATGAGCAATTTCTCTTTGGAAGCTTCCTCTTGGCTACTGTTTCTTTTCCTAGAGATCCACCCAAAGAATCTTGTCCCACCGTTTGCTGGACCCAGCAACAAATATTGGACAATGAAGAGCATCTGACTCCTACCCACATTGCCAAACTCCCCAAATGTAACATATTGTGGGTGGGGCTGAGAATCTAGTTCAGCCTACTGAAAAATATGCACGACTGAAGTCTTCATGCAAGACATAATAAGTTTATGGGAATAAACATAGGAACAGACTCAAAACAACTTGCAAGGTCAAAAGAAAGAACGTAACACTTACCCAATCTTTACGTTGTTGATTTGCCTATGTTGATATGCTTATGTTGAGTGATTCAATTAGGATTCCAGGGGAAATGGTCCAGTTTGGAACTGGCTCCCGTTCAGTACCTATAAATATTTTCCTAATAATCCTGTCTGGGTCTCCCACATATTTAACCTTACCAGTTACACTAGGCTATAGATTGGGCAAGTGTTATTCTTTCCTTTGATGTTGCAAGTTATTGCTTGGATTAAGATGAATGTGCTGCCAGAGACGCTTTTTTTGTTTCAAGCCCTCCCAAGTATAGATAATGTGAAATGTTTTAAAGAATGGCAAAAAGCATTATCTAGATTTATCTGGCAGGGAAGAAACCCAGAATTAAATATAAACTACTTACAGATTCTAAAGAAAGAGGGGGATTCTCCCTGCCAGACTTAAAAATTATTTTGAAGCTGCTGCACTTTGTTGGATTAAAGAATGGATGCAATTAGAAGATACAGACCTGTTAGATTTGGAGGGATTTGACAATGTGTTCTGTTGGCATGCATATTTATGGTATGACAAGGTAAAGGCCCATAAAGCATTTAAAAACCATGTAGTTAGGAAATCGTTGTATAGTGTTTGGATAAAATAGGAAAGATCTTTTAGAAAGAAAGACGCCCAGATGGCTTTCACCAATGGAAGCAAAGGCCCAGAAAAAACTAAATATGGATACCAAATGGTTGAGATACTCTGATTTATTATTGGAAGATGAAGAAGGTTACAAATTAAAACCATTTGATCAAGTTAAAAATAAGTTAAACTGGTTACATTATCACCAGATTAATGAATCGTACAAATTGGATAAAAAAAAAACGGTTTTTGCTTCTGAAAAATCTAAGTTCGAGACGGAGGTGTTGGATACTAAAGGTAAAAATTTATCTAAAATGTATAAAGTTATTTTTGGAGTGGCATACAAAAGATGAACAAGTTAAATCTGTGATGATAGATTGGGCAAGATATGTAGAACATAATATAATGTTTGAGGATTGGGAAAGATTGTGGAAGAAAGGGGTCAAGTTCACTGCATGTACCGTGTTAAAGGAAAATCTAATGAAAATGATGTACAGATGGTATTTGACTCCTGTAAAATTAGCAAAGATATATCATAACTGTGACAATCTATGTGGAAATGTAAAGAAAAGGAAGGAACCTTTTATCATATGTGGTGGACCTGCCCCAGTGAAAGACTTCTGGGAAAGATTTCTAATGAATTGGGGGGCGGAGGTATGTGGTGGTGTTATTGGCCTTTTTCCAATGGTCTCAAGCTGAGTACATGCGCTCTTCTCCGACTCATTGACTCTCCACAATAACCCTGTTGGAGTTAGTTGAGGTCTGAGAGCCAGATGATGGTCCAAGTCAACCGATGAAGCTTCATGGCAAGCGGGGGGAAATAAAATGTTTGTTGGAGCCTTGACAAAATATACATTTATAAGAAGGAGAAACCAGAGCCTTCTTCTGGAAGAACAGTTGGAATTGCCCAAGAAAGATGTTTAAGATTATTTTTGTATGCACAAACTTTGTTCTCGAATTACTAGCTAAAAAGTGGTGAGATACTACGCAACGCAGGGTCCTTTGGGAGCAGTAAATCACTAATCTTAGCAAAACGGGTGCAACGATACAAATGGCCAACGATGACTAGGAAGATTGTGATCTTCCATTTTTACGCTAAGAGACACTCTAGATACTCGTAAACCGGAAGAGTCCACGACCGAGAAGGAGGAGGAGTATCATAGAAAAGATTAGAAGATATAACTAAATTTTATTAATGCCCTTAGTATATAGTTAAATTGTGTTTGAAAGTTGCTGAAGAGAATTAGGAAATAATTTGAAGAAACACTTACCAGATATATAACTAATTGGCTTCAAGATTTAGCTCAAATATAAGGAGATTAAAGTGACTCGCAAAGTTAATATGTAATAATTTCAAAATGAAAGATTCTAAGGTGTTAACATTTATTCAAGTAGTAACAATTTTATACACAGCGCGCTCTCTCTGCTCGTGAGGTCGCAGCTCCTTGTAAGACTCCTAAGACTAAGATTATTCTTTAGGTATATGCATAGCATTTTTCCGTGTGCTCGCAGACCATACTTCTTTCCCTAGAGAATACACTGACAACAAATGTTGGCCAGATCACTTCTACTATATAGTGAGAAGGTTGGGGCTGCGCTCGCGTATTACATCAGATATAGTGTCCATTGGCGTGCCGAGCGTGGCGCGGGGGGGCGGCGGCGGCGCGGCGCCCGGGGCCGCGGGCCCGTTGTGGGGCGCTCCGGGGCCCCCCAAGGGCCCGGCTCGCAGGCGGCGGCCGGGTGCCTGGTGGCGCCGCCCAAGAGTTCTGCAAGGTCGACCGGCGCGTTGGTGGCCCCTGGGAAAATTGCAGGTGTGATTGGCATTAGATAGGACGATGTGAATAGAGCCTTGTTTGATATCTGCTCTTTATACCCCGACTGCAAAAAAAGTAAGGACAATTAGGTCTTGACGAGGAAAAAAGCAAGGGGTGAGAAGGTTGAAAAATGGCGCTTGTGTCGCGCAATGTTATGAGAAACTCATTTGATCGGGGATAAGGAACTCCCAATTGTACGTCTTGTATCGGAGCCAGAGCTACTCTCGCATGGTTGTTTAAGCTTTTGTGTCTTGAGATCGAAAGCACATTTGGCACGTTGATTGGCGCTGAGATAACAAAACATTTTCAAAATTGGCTGACCCGGTCTGAACCCACACCCGCGCCATCGTGCTCGTTCAGGCCCGTTTGGGCTCTAGCAGTATAACCCGTTTTCTAGCATGCGGCCTCCGTTCGCACAGCGACATCGTCGCCCGGCCCTGTGTCCTTGGCGTTCCTCTGATTCGCGCAGTTAGTTATTAACAAATAAATGCTAAATGTGACCACGTGAGGTAGGCTTATTGAACACGATCCTAGGGTCAGCCAGTTGGGAAGTGGTGTGTGATCAGAAATAAATATAATTATTAAACTAGCGAACAGAAACTCATAGGTAAGTCGGAGGCCGTTTTGGCACGCAAGTGTTATCGTTATGTGCCAGTCATCCCTCTATGAGATTGTTAGCACGCACTGCTCATTACATTGTGCAGAGACGCATAAGGGCAGTGTCGAGCATCGCTGTTGCTATCAAAGATTGCACTGGCTTTATTCTAAGTCTGGATATTGAAAGATTGACATAGATGGTTCACTAAGCTACTTTCCAAGATCGCCCAGTCCACACCCTCACTCGCGCCCTAAGTTCCCCCTATCAGTTGACAAATAAGCAGAGACTAGTTTTGCCTAAAACAAACTTGTGGCTTGCTCTA